TTTTTTTTTTAATTGCCAGAGGGCCGGTACACTTACTCTAGTCAGAGAGAGACAGAGACAGGGAGGAAGCACCTAATGGGCCATGGTCACAGTGTGATCCCTTCTCCTCCAGTTCCCCGTCCTGTTGCCACTTGGGCCACACACGTGTGCCCAGCATGTTTTCCAAGCTGCCGGGGCAGGAACTCAAACTTGGGTCCAGCATGTGGGATGCCGTTCCCTTAACCACTAGGCTATGGGTCTGGCCCTCTATTTTTTATTAGTAAGTAAATATATGAAATGAAGGAAGGTGAGTTTTTTCTGATCTAAGGAAAGTGAAATTGACTCCATGCCAAAGCCTTCAAGTAAACTGTTATTTAGAACATGGTGAATCACCTAGTCTCCTATTTTAACAAAAGCATATCCTTTTATTGTTTGAAATTTCCCCAGCATCTTAACTCTAAGGTTCATAGCCAAACTTATTTCTAGAAATACTAGGAAATTCAAAATAATCATGAATTTAACTTCTGTGCGATGATGGATTTTACGTAATACGTACTAACAGTTCATAGATGAAAGAGCTATTGAAGCTTTAAAAGAATTCAATGAAGACGGCGCATTGGCAGTTCTTCAGCAGTTTAAAGACAGTGATCTCTCTCATGTTCAGGTAATATTAACTTGACGTTAATTTCAGTGAAAAAGTAGCTTCAAAATTTCGTTATTTTTGGTATGCTCTGTTAAGTTACATTAGGCACAGATACGATAATTTTTGCTAAATATGAATGGGAAAATTTTTTTACAGAACAAAAGTGCCTTTTTATGTGGAGTCATGAAGACTTATAGGCAGAGAGAAAAACAGGGGACCAAAGTAGCGGACTCTAGTAAAGGACCAGATGAGGGAAAAATTAAGGTATGTCTTTTAAAACTCCCTTTAATTTTAAAATGAACTATTTCATAGCATTGGTAAATATTCTTGAGTGAAATGGATGTGTATATTTTTAAGATGTTGAAGTAATTTAACCTTTTCAAATTGTATCTTGAAGTTTTCCTGCCTTGAGCTGTTTCTATTTTATTTTAAAACAATTTAATATTTTCAACTTTATCTTGTTAGCCAGTTTTTTTAATTTAATTTTATTTATTCATTTAAACTTGACCATAGAGAGAGAGGAAAAAAGAGAGAGGGAAAGTGAGAAAGCAAGTCAACAGGTCCAGGACTCAAACCATGGTCAGCTATGTGGGAGTGTCCAGTGCCTTAATCACCACGCCACCTGCTGGTTCCCGCTAGCCAGTTATTGTTGTTTGACTTGGTGCTATTGGTGGTAGTCCACATAAAAGACTTAAAGAAATATACCTCTCCTTTTTTTTTTTTTTTTTGAGAATGTATTTATCATATTTCTAGATATATTTTGAAAAGCTGCAAGCCCAAGTTACAGAGAGTTGAACCACACTGGGAGGGACTCAGTTTACCTGTACTGGTGGAGAGCATACATTTAGCAGCCTTTCTTTTCTTACTTAGAAATTATTTAATTTAATTTATTTATTTTATTTTAATTTGACCAGAGAGTGAGAGAAAGTGAGAAAGCAAGCTGCCAGGTCTGGGACTCGAACCACAATTAGCCATGTGAGGGTGCAACGCCCTTATCCACCACACCACCTGCCAGCTCCTTAGCATAAGCCTTTCTTGAGTCTCAAGCCTGAGTGAGTTTAGAATTTTCATACTGCCACCTTTCTCTTCGTTTAGTATGGTTATAAAGATTAATTTTTTTTTTAAAGTTTTTTTCTTTTTTTTTTTTTTTTTTTGGGAGGGTTTTCCCCAAGGGCGGGGGGCCCACTTGCCAGACAGATAGAGACAGAAAGCGAGAAATCACCCCCCAGAGGGGATGGATGGTCACGCTGCAATCCCTTCTCCTCTCGGGATCTTGGGCACGCACGCACACGCACCCGGCGTGAGGTTTAAGCCACCGGGTCCGGGATGCGAACCACGGTCGACTACGTGGGAATCCAGCGACATAGCCATTACGCTAACTGTTGGTTCCCAGTTTTTTTCTTTCTTTTAAGAGATTGTGCTATAGGGCATGTGCTTTCACCAAAACGAAAAATCACCCCCCAGGGGCAATGACCATGCCGCTATCCCTTCTCCATTCTCCTCTCGGGATCTTGGGCATGTATGGACATGCTCTTAGTGTGAGTTTAAAGCCACGGTCCAGAACTTCTACCGCCATCAACTATGGAAGTTCAGCGACATAATCATTATGCCATCCACTAGTCCCAAATTTCTTCTTCTTTTTTTTTTTTTTACTTAATGTTTTTTGCCACAGGGCACATACAGTCACCAGAGATGGAGAGCAAAAGTGAGAAATAGCCATGTTAGAATTCTTCTCTTCTGTTTTCTTCTTAGGATTTTGGGTACACATGCCCATTACCGCCATGATTTTCAAGTTGTTAGGCCAGTCTCAAACAGGTTGGCCATGTGGGAGTCCAGGACCTTCACTACTATGCTACCTGCTGGCCCTAGGATTAGTTGATTTCTATTTTAATAACTTTTTTTAAAAAATAAGAATTATTTTATTCAACTTTATTTTGTTGAATATTAACCAGAGAGGGACAGAGAGAGCAAGAGAGGGAGGAGAGAAAGAGAGGGAAAGTGAGAGAGCAAGCTTTCAGAATCGGGACACGAACCATGGTCGTCCTTAACCAGCACATTACCTGCTGGCCCTGTAGCAGCTTTTAACAGATTGTTTAGAGTGGAAAAGTAAATGAGGAAACTAAGTATGAGAGAAGACAGCTTTTTCTTTTTTTTTTTTTCCCTTGCTTTGCTTTGTCATGGAAAAAACAAGTGACCTTAACTCAGCTAAGTTTTAGTCCTTTGTGTTGGTGAGTTCTTTTAGTTCACAGAAATTCTGTAATCATTTTAGTGTTTTGTTTTTAGATTTTTGCCATAGGGCACCTGTGTTCACTGGAGAAGGAAAGTGAGAAACCCTCCCCTCCTTATCCCTGGGTTGGGAGATGTCTGCACTGCAATCCCTTCTCCATTATCTTGGGATTTTAGTTATGTACATGACATGCCCATTGTGTCTTTCAAGCCTTCATGTCTGGGACTTGAACTACGTTCAGCCTTTGGGAATTCAAACCCCTAGCCACTGTGCCATCTGCTGTTCTCGCTCTTTAAAATTCCAGGACTCTTAAACCAAAGGTTATAGTTTTAAAAAAATTAAAGAAGAGTATAGGTGTTGAGTGGTGTTTCAGTGATATCAGAAGTGGGAAGCCTAGAATAAGGAAAAAGTTGAAATGTGGAATTAGGGCATCAGCAGATGGCTGGACTCCCATGTGGTCTACCATGGGGTAGAGTACCAGACCCAGCAGCTTAAAACTCATGCCAGGTGTATATATGTGTGTGCCCAGAATCCCAAGCAGAGAGTGGAGAAGGTATTGCGGCATGGCCATTCCCTCTGGGTGGTGATTTCTCACTTTCTGTCTCTCTGGTGAATGCATACACAACCTATAGCAAAAATCTATTCCAAAAAAGGAAAGAAATGTGGAATTAATGTTACTGTCAACTGAGTGAGTTAGAACCTAACTATAAATGCAGTTTTTTCATGAAAGTGGAGCATAGTTGTCCATGTTGTAATGGTATCAGTTCTAGTTGAATCTGTATTTGGGAGTTAGAAAAAATTAAAGCTTTATGAACGTACTTGAAGTGCAGTTTGTGTGATTTTGATCTATAGTCTTTAGAAAGGGGTGACATAAAGCTTTAATGGTACCTAAATTTCGGTAAGGAGGCCAGTAGAGACATTTAGTCTTTGCTATAGAGCATATGTGTTTGTCAGAGAGTTACAATGAATTCATTCCTGAGGGCAGAGGGGATATGGCCACTTCAAAATTTCTTTTCTTCCATTCTCTTGGGGTTTTGGACACTCACATAAATGAGCCCAGCATGTTTTTTCAAGCCACTGGGTCAGACTCAAACAAATCACGCAGTCAGCCATATAGGATCCAGCTGCCTTAACCATGATGCCACCAGCTGGTT